TATCCGTTTTTTTAATTCTGTTAGTTGGCACCTAGATAGTGTCTCTTGTTTTCAGTGCTGTTAGCTTGCAATTTGACTGTTGTTTATTTTAACGTACGTGTGTATTTAAGCTAAGTGTGGACTTGACAATATGCGTAGGTGTAATTTATATAAACAAATTATGAGTTTTTGAATCAAACACATTTAATTGAAACATAAAAATATCTAAAAGTGTTTGAATTCGTTTTTGTAATGAATGTAAATGATGCTTTGTTTATCTATGAATCTGGAAAATATACTTGGACTTAAACTATTCTTCTATAAATTAAATAACTTATTATAATAATACAATGAAGCTTTTGCTATAGTGGATCACACAAATAATCCCAGATACTATTGAGTAAAAGTGATTTAAACACGAACTCGGGTTTATTCAAGCAGAGAAGGGGAATATATCTGGTTTGATCCGAAATTTTCTTAATTTGTCATAAATTTGAAATTTTTATAAAAATTTTAATATCAATGTTTTTTATAGTTGCTTATTAAACCTAAATGGGAATCCATTGCTTGGTAGCATACTTGGCGGTGGTGGCAGTGGTGGTGGAGCTGGCAGTGGTGGAATCCTAGGTGGAGTTTTAGGATAGGAAGTTATAGGTAATGTAGTTCATAAAAACTTATCTGTAAAACTTATCTATTATCTATATAATATCTTTTTTTTATAGGGGGACCGGTTAAAAAATGAATTACATCCAATTTAAAGTTTTCCAATCTGGAAAAACTTCAAAAACAAGCAAATAAGTTTTATAATATACAATAATTAATATATCAATCGAATTTCAAATTTTGCAATATAATGAAAAACATAATTATTTGAAAATAAGTTTATGTACAGTGAATGTATGTACAGTGAAAACTCTCTGTACAGTTGAGTGTACAAGTCAAAACGTTAAAATAAATTTTTTATATATCAATATTTTCTTTGGATCAACGTAACTTTATAGATGATCATTTTTTTCGAATAAATAGTTTTGGATGACTACTGTCCACTAAAGGTTCTCTCGGTTCTCTCTTTTGGACATGTACCTATCTACATTAATTTATTTGTTGTAGCTATTCAAAATTTTATAATTGTATAAATAGTTTGATAATTTATTGTTTTATATAATTTATTGACCAATACTTCATTTAATTTTTTTATAGTAAAATTTATTTTGTGAAAGCTTAAATACCTACATATTTAATAAAATTTAATGAAATAAAATTAAATAAAAAATAATAATTTATCAGTACTAAATGTAATAAAAATATTTATGAAAAGGTTTATGTAAGTAAATTTGTAAATTAATTTTAATTTTATGCATTTCACTTTTTTTTTATTTTATTCACATACGCCTTTTCAAAAAATAGAAAAATTTAAAAAAAATTGAACTCACAACTACTCTAAATATTTTATTTTATTTTATATGAAGTATAAATAAAATAATGAAGACATTTTATTTTGAAGGAATATTAGAATTTATGCCTAGTAATGAAAGTAGATATTTCAAACAAAAAAATAATTTCAAAATATTAAATATTTATTTCTTTTTTTTGAAATATAAAAAAAAAATAAGAAGACATATATTTTAAAGAAATGTAAGAAAAAAATTATTTTATGATAAAAAAATTTAAGAAGATATATATTTCAAAGGAATATAAAAAAGAATTAATATTAATAATAAAAATTGACATTACCAACAATTTCAAAATATTATAAATAATGTATTTTTGACTCTTCACCGCCTTTAATATATAACAATTTAAAAATATATTTAATATGAAAATATAATTGTAAAGTTATAATGGAATATAATCGAATTGTCCCAAAACTTTTTATGTTTAATAAACTCATCGAATAAAAAAGTCTAAATGTTTTCATTCGTTCCTCCCACAATTTCGCTTCAAACCAGGGACCACCCCAACGGACCTCAACGTTAATACAGGTCATTTGAACTGCATCAAATAAACCTCGCTCAACTATGAACTTTCCTTGCACACCATTTAAACTTTCTAGAGCAAAGTTCAAAATCCGAAAATGCGAAAATCCGAATCGAGTTTATTCATTCCGTTCTAACCAAAAAAGATACAATGCATGTCACATGTCGTATGAGTGACCTCTTGTAAATAAAGCAAATACAGTAAATAAAGCAAACACACATCATTGAACTCATCAATTTTTTTCTTATAAGAATTTATGCTTGTTTACCCATTGCTTTGTTGCTTCAGCAAGGAAAAAGCAAATGCAAAAGCAAAAGCAGCAAAGAGAAAAATTCGCAACATCTTTGCTTCGTACATCGCGTGTGCTCTTAATTGAATTGGTTTTGCAAACACAATTAAGAGGAACTGCTTGTGTTTTATACTCTTTGAAAGTTTCCAAAAAAATGAAAGTTTTGCGTTGAGAAAAGTAAGTAAAAGCAAAATATAGTAAATTTGTGAAGTAAGGATGATGAAAAGGATTTTCAATGAAAAGTAAAAAATGTAAACAATTTTTTTACATGCAAGCAAAGACAACATTGAAAACTAATTTTCTGTAGTGCATTAGCAATCAACAGTGCGATTGATTGTGTGGACTGTGTTAGTGCGCTACATTGTCAATATACAGTGTAGTGTATGCAATGGCTGTAAGTATAAAAATTAATTTTTTTTTGAATAAAATAATTAATGTTTTAAGTATAAAAGTATAATATAAAAGTGTAGTAAGTATAAAAATTATTTCTTTTTTTAAAAAAAATACATAATTGTTTTAGAGGAAAGAAATAGAAACACTAGTAAAAAGAATAAGATATAATAATATATATGAACATATATAAAAAATATTGCATTACATAAAATACAACTACAATAATAACAATAATTAATAATAAAAAAATTGACGTAATGTAATTATGTAATAAATAAAGTCAATTATGATTATAAGTTATCAAAATGTAAAAATAAAAAAATATTAAACAAAAATAATAATAGATATGAATACATATAAATAATATAATAAACTATATATAATAAATAAAATCAATTAAAAAAATAAAAAAAAAATAAAACAAAGTATTAATAGATCTGAATACATATAAATAAAATAAAAAACTTAATATGATAAATAAAATATAATTATAATAATGACAAAAAATAATAATGTATAGAAATAGTAAAAAAAAAATTAAAATAAAATGTTTGGTTTCGTCGGTTTCGAGTCCATAATCAAAACGTCTACAACTAACGTACCTCCAGCGTTTGTGAAATAACACCCATCTCATCAACCTAAAAACATTTTTGGTTTTATAACCACTTCAATGCTTTATGGCATAGATAAACATAGATTTCTAAGTACCAAGCTTGTTTATTTCAACTATCACCTCTAAATGAAGTTTTAAGTCAGTAGTGGCAATTCTCCATTGATATCTAAGAGGTGGTTTTAACGGATTAAAGTCGATTCTTCCAACCTATTCCAAAAAAAAAAAAAATGCAACTGACGGAAAATTTCTATCGTCATTTAACCGTAGTCCATTACTTAATAAGCATTGGAATTATTATCAATATGTTATTAGTTTTGTGTACTTAAGTTTTTAAAATCTGGCTGTAAGAGGAAGTGGAACCTTAACCTTGGCACTACACTGAAAACAGTATGTCTCACTATCAGACTATAATCAGCTTATTTTTAAAGGCGAACAATTACCATTCATCCATCCCAACTTGAACAAAAAAAAGGTTCCTATGGACTACAACCACAACAACAATATTGTGTTTAGTAATGGGAATGTCATATGGACAGTCATGTTTAGGTTAAATCTGGAATTATGGTTTTTTGCAATGTGAATGTAAAAATGAAGTATAAGAAAATGAGACAATAATGAGATTTGATGTTGATGAAAAAGAGTTGAGTAAATTTGATCAGGGTACGATTCTTTTAGTGCCTTATCACGTTAGTCATAACAGTTTTGTTCAGTTAAAAATTTTCATCTATTAGGAATACATAGATGTGTTTTTGTGAGTACTTGTAACCATATTTACATAAAAATAAATACATTTTTAAATTAGGCACAAAAGAAGTATCAGAATAGTAAAGTACGAAATTGACAATTATTATAACATTGACTGTCTGTATAACATATCTGTCTGTATTGCTTATGATCAAAAAGGTCGTAAAATTGCTGTGACCATTCATCATATGAATGAATTCTGTATAATATGGCCGTTAGCTAATTTACCTGGTAGTCCTTATCGAAGGCACGTCAGAAAATCGTCTATGATATTATGTATTTACCAAAAAAACAAACAGTTATAAGGTTCGTATATCTTACTTTATATCTCTACTTTATATCTTAGTCCACCATATCTTTCAGTTCAATAAGGTCATAAAATAATTCAATAATATATTAGAAGTAAAATAGAATTGAAGAATTTATTAGTTTTAACTTTAAATCTTTGAAGAGACAAACAAAGTCTTCGAATACTTTAACGCACTGCAGTAGGCTTTGTTGGTACACAAGTCCATGACCTTTTTGTGTGCCAGTCATTTGCATTGAATACAAAAAAAAATTAATGTAATGCAAGTAAATGTATCTGAAAATTAGTTGAAATTTATTTTTACCAAATCCCACTGCCAACCAGAGTCCAAATCAAATTTCTTCATCAGAGTCCTTTGCTCTCTTAAAGCCAACAACACAAAATCCAAACAAAATGCAAACAAAATTTTGTTGCTACCAAAAAAAAAACAAAAAAGAAAAAACAAATTAAACTCTTGCAAAACAAAGTCACAAACAAAATCACAAGTCGCTGGCAGCCAAAGACGTAGCACTCGAAATGCAGTAGCACTGATAAAGCCAACTGTGCTCCCCATACGAGTGTAGTGCTCGCCTCGCCTCGCCATTGAACAATAAAGCTCATGTGCGTTCGTCGTATGCTCGTTCGTTCGTACGTTCGTTTGTATGTGCATTTGTTCGTTTGTTTGTTCGTTTGTTCGTTTGTGAACTTGGAGAATTTGGCTCGTTCAGTCTTAAATCGACTGTCGTTGGAGATAGACGTTGTTGCTCTCGTTTATTTTTGTTTATTTTGCTTTTTGCGTTTGGTTGCAATTTCGATTTTAACGCGCGCGAAGTACACTTTTGTTTTTTTTTCTACAATATAAAACGTTCGTTCGTGGCCATTGTCGTTCAATAACGTTTAAAAATGATTTGCTTTTTTGTGTTTTTGCATCCATTAAAGATTGAATTAAAAAAAATTCAATTCAATGAGTGATTTCGTTCATCTTTACTAGAAAATGAAAAAGTATTAAATATTAAAATTTTACAAATATAATTATTAATTAAAATTATTAATACAAAATACTAAAAGTGCAGTGCATGTGCATGTGCAACACCACAAAACGTGCACATAAAATTATTTTATGTAAAAAATTATAAAAATACAGAAAAAGTATCTACAAAAAAAATTCTAAAAAAATATTTATAAAATAAAATTGCATAGAGTTTATGATGATATTCTACTTATAAGAAAAAAGTGAGTTGCAAGCTCTCTGGCTTTGGAATAAAACAATCAAAGTATTTTCATCTAACCGCGGCGATATAATTAATTTTCGGTAATAATGAAGTTAGCACAGCAATAAGTATCTGCAAGTTCGTTTACCTGTTACAGTTGAAACATGCATTGATTTTAGTTGTTTTTTATACAAATACAAATTTTGTATTTCAAATAAAAATCAATAACAAAAAAAAATTTATTCAAAAACCAAACTAAAAATTTTCATCTTGGCAAAAATTAGTTTCACCTTAAAGCCGCACTTAAGCACGCCTATGTGTGTCGCTGCCTCTGTGCCTGAGTGTGCCTGTGCCTATGTGTGTGTGTGTGTGTGTCTACATAATTCATACAAATCTGTTATAACTAAATAAAAAAAAATAAAATAAAATAAAAGGTAAATGCACTTCAAGAGCAATAAACGTTACATTGCAAACAAATCACTTCGAGGTCAATGGTTGGAATAATTATTATAGCTACGCGCAAGTGACGAGGACCTACAAAATTTCGCAATGCTAAATTTTTTTTTTTTCGAATTTCATAACGCGAACTCGCCGATTCTAAAGGATTAACTCGAAAATGTGAAGTGAGTAAAAATTATTTTAAAAATAAATTTTTTTTTTTGGGAATAATTATAGTACTTAAAAATTTTAATTCGACTCAATTTAAATTTTTAAAAATTATTGTAGCAATTAAATCATAGTAATTTTTTTTTAATTTTTAATTAAATTAAGTCAATTTTGCTTTAAAATTTTTTTTTATTTTGTAAATAATAAAATTTTTTTTTATTTTAAAATAAATAAAATAATTTAACTTTTAATTATTTTTTAGATTTTTTAATTAAAAATTTGTGTGAAATTATTTTTTTTTATTATTGTTTTATTAAAAATTTCATTATATACATTAATATTTCATTAATAACTTTATTTAATTTAGTTTAGTTTATTTCATTTAGTTTGTTTTTCTTTTAGTTTAATAACAAACTTTATTTATTCATTTTAATTATAGTATTTCATTATTAACTAAATAATTTATTTTAAACCTTATTTAGTTTATTTTTATTTTAATTTAAAATTAACTTAAGTTTAATAATAAAATTTATTTAGTTTATTTTTATTTTAATTTAAAATTAACTTCAGTTTAATAATAAAATTTATTTAGCTTATTTTAATTTCAAATTAAGTCATATTCTGTATAAAATTTATTTATATAAATAATTGTTTTTTCTTTAATTGTAATTAAAAAAAATTTTTTTTATTTGAAAACAATTTCAAATTAATTTAATTAATTGAAATTTAATTGATTTTTTAATTAAATTTTTAATGACTTTTAATAAATTTATTTTTGTAATATAATTTATTTATTAATAATTTTATTTAAATTTTTTAAAATAATCAATTTGAGTTCAGAAATTTCTTTAAATTTAAGAAGTCATATTTTTTAAATATAAGTCATATTTGTTATAAGATTCAGTCAACCTTGATTAATTTTAATTAAACAAATTAATCATTTATCTGATACCCTTACTATTTTAATTTTCTAATAAAATTTAAGATTAATAAACTAAATACTTATTATTATTTCCAATAATTCTTTTATTAATAGTTTTATTTCGGTTTATTGCATTTTACAACACTATATACTATAGGCAAATTTTTTTTAAATTTAATTTATTTTTTAATTTATCTTAGTTTTTAAAAAATAAAATACATTAAAATAAATAAAATTTAATTTGAAATGAAACTAATTTTTAATGAAGTAAAATATGCAATTAAAAAAATACTTATTAATTATAATTTAAAAAATCTTAATTAAAAACAATTTTTTAATAATATGTTTGAAATAATTGTTTTATTTTTTTTAAGTTTAAATTATTGCACGATATAATTAATAGAATTTTATTTATAGTTAATTTTAAGTCTAAAACCCAGAATCGGAATTCAAATCAATACTGAGTAACTCAATTCGTATTTATTTTATATGTTTAATATGTTTATATATGTATTCGTAAAATTAATTAAAATATGCAAAAATATTCAACAAATATAAAACTACTTCATAATTTATTAAATACTATATATATTATTACTTATATTATTACTTGATTTCAAATTATATTTTTTATTTTAGTAATTAATTATATCATTATAAAGAAATATATATAACATTATAAATATATAATATTTTAAAAAGATTCACTTCATTAAACATTAAAAATATTTAATATCTTAACAAGATTTTACTAGATATAATCAAATCAAATACAATCAAAAATAATTATAATTTACTTTACTTTAATTTTTAAATTTTTATTTTTTATGTCTTTGACTTTTGAACACTTAAAATAATATAAAAAAATTAATCAAAAACCTGATTTTTTCCTACCACTACTAAATATACTAAAGATATTTAGTGATATATTTTAGTTTTAAACTATTTATTCTGGATTTAGAGATATTCGTCAGAGAATATTTATGAAAAATGGTTTTTAATTAAATATCTAAAATAATCTGTTTTATGTGTAGTTTGAAAAACTATAATATAATTATAATATATAATATAGTGATGTCTCAAAATATTATAAAACATAAAGACCGCATCATCAGCATCTCTGGCACAATAGAGTCTATAGGGTCAGCGTACCATTAGCACTCCTAATAAGCACCTGCAAATTCTTAGAAAAATATGTTATAATAAATCATAAAAATCGAAAGTCGACTAGCAGTTAGAGCTTTTATTTTCACTATTATTTATTACATTAATTAATTCCAACAAAAAAAAAAAAAAGAAAAATTATCACACAAGAAAAATTCTTGTATAGTAATTAATAATGTTTTTGTTATTTGTTAATAAAAAAACTATTATTACAATTTAAAAATATAAACTCAAATAAATAGTACTGCCTTATTAATTCATAAAGTCAACCATAAAATTATCATATGAAAAATAAATCTAAAGCATTAACCAATAAAACAATAAATTATTCAATTATACTATTATTATTTATTAAAACTAATGATTTAAATTTCATATAAATAACATTATTTAATTTGATATATAGCTTATTTTTTATTCCCTTTTAAAATTCATTTAAATATAATTTAAGCTTATAAGTATATGAAAGAAAGATATTTTGAGTTAAACTTAATTTTTATATCAAATGTATTATATATATGTTTTTATATTTTATAGTTTTATATATTGCATTTTATAGTATATTGAGAGGTCGTATTAATATATTTATTTTATTATTATTTTGCATTTTTATATATATTATGATTTATATTATAATAAATTTTAAAAGCATTTTTTGTCTACTACTTTAATCTTTAATATATAAGCAATTTGTGCAAAAATGTTGTGGAACTTTATAGAATATTACAATATTCTTTGTAAAAAAATATAATAAAATAATAAGTTATTTTTAAATACTTGTCATTATTATTTTTTATTAGATTTTTAGATTTTTAATTTTTAAGATTTTTTTAATGATTTATTACTAAAATATAAAAAATCAATAATTTTATATTTAAAAATATAATAATGCTCTCTTGACCAAAAAATTCAACATATGTACAATCTATATGAAAGTAATCTTTCAGATGCTTTTCATTAACATTTCTACGTATTAAAGATTAATCAGGCAGTATTTTGACTGGTCTTATATTCTGGTAGCTCCAGTGTCGTAACCTTCTTCTTCCCTACTTCACAAAGTTGTGTGTGAATGAATATATCTCTTTGAGTTTTTCAAGTGGACGACTCTATAAATTATTATTATATTTTGATTGAATAAAGAACAGGATCAGTCCAATGTATTCAGTCAGTTGACTTTTTTGTCTTTTTGGTAGGATTAGAGTTCACTCAATAACGCTAGTAGAAATCATAGCTTTGATAATATGATTAGTGTTATCCGTATCTAGGATATATATATAACTAAATTGAGCTTCACGTAACCATACTTTAACATTGTCGTATGTCGCTTTAACTAAGTTCTTAACTTAATAGCTTAGTTAAGTAAAGCCTTTTATTTTCTCATAGGGATTTGTTGGATTTGTTTATGGTTTTCATTATATTATTAACATTTTTTACTAAACCCAGAAAAATTTTTTGTAATATATTAAAAAAATAGATATATAAACATATATAAATAAAATTGAAGTATTTAAGAAACAACACATTAATAATTTAGTATTACGTTAATTTGTGAAATGTAAAACTGGAAAAAATCCTAGAATTGTATTATTATTTTATACTTTTCTGGTCTTTTTTATGTTAGGACAAAAATAAATTAATTTCAATTAAGTTATTTTTATAATTAATAAATAAAATAGTTTCATTTTATCTTTCGAATCCGGCGTTTCGTTAGAGATTGTCAACATCTTCCGTGATCTCTGAAATCTATTTTATGTATTACTTAAAATTCCAAAAATTGAAAAATTCTTCTCAATTCTAGCGACGGCAATAGGTTTTTATTTTGATACCATCATCTAATATAATAATTGCACCAGTGAGTAATCATATATATTAAATCTGACATCTTGAGTGAAATTATTCATTCTACAATAACCACAATGCTTATAATTAATTACATTATCTTCCGAAGAAATCAATCGAGAGTTGAAGTTCGATTATTTTCAAGTTGAAGTTTTTAAACTGAAACGATTAACAAATATGAGGAAGTTTATTAGATCAATCCAATATTTAGTCTATGTTTACAGATATTATTAGATGTGAGTATTATAATTTCTGTATTAGAAATAATTCAGAATTTGATTATATTAAAATTCTATTATATTACAAATAATAAATTACATTTAATAAATAATTTATTTAATTATGATCGTCTATATAAATTTCTTAAATGAAAACTATTTTAAGTTCTAGAGAGAAAAATCATTATTTTCATTAATAATATTGTATGTAAAATAATTCATATATTCAATTATGGCCTTATATTCTCCGAAATTTTTGCTATTACAAATACTATATCAGATTTTATCTAATACTACCTCAACTATTACTACAAGTCTTATCACGATTTCTACTCGTTGAATATGTTTATAAACTATTTCTTAAAATTTTGGATACTAATACTATTCATTTAATATTAATTTTAGCTAATGTCTTTTATTAATCTTTTTTTTTTGTTGTTTTATACAGAGCATGAATTTTTGACATAAAAAATTTTGGGTTTCTTTTTTTATTTCATTTTTTATATGACTAATAAATTCATATATAATTGAACTTATAACATGACTCTTATAATTAACATATTTGTACTTTATTTAAAAGTAATTCATAAATAATTAAATGTTAGATATGATCAATAACCTCAACCAAAATCTTATTGTGTGGTTCACCCACTTTCGAAGCTCACAAGTGTTTCTCCACAAATTCAGTGCGAATTACGATTTTTTTTCGTTTAGATAAGTTCAAGGCTTTGCTATTTGTTTCGTTGAATTTTGGAGGTTATATACCGAAGTTCGTATCTACACACTGCAATAGGTATCTACAGATATATTTCAAGTTAATTTAAACAAAAAAAAAAAAAACTATTGAAATAACAAATGAGTAAAATAAATCATG